CTCTCTTCCTCTCACTTCTTCTTTCTCTAAAATCAATAAAGGAAAATAAATAAATAAATAAAAATGTGTGAATGCTGATTTCACATGATAACATGTATATATATGGCAATGGAAAGCTAGAATTTAGTCCATTAAAAGCAGGCACAAAACAAGAATGCGAACTCTATATAGCTCTATTAATTTTTGTTTTCTGGAGTTACTGGCCAAGACAATTAGCTAAAAGGGAGATATTAGTGGTATAATATTGGAAAGATGGGTATAGAAATCACTGTGGCCTTTACTGTTATGTGTTGTTTTTCAGTTTTAAATTTCTTCTTTATTGTTTCTTATTTCCCTTTCTTTTATATATACATTTATTTTTTTCTTTATTGTTGAAAGTATTATAGATGTCTCTCTTTTTGCTTCCCATTAACACCCTCTTTCCTGTTCCTGCTGCCTACCCTCCCCCGCCTTCAGCCCCCTGTTGTCTGTGCCCATATGTGCATTTAAGTTCTTTGGTTTACCTCTTCCCATCCCACCGCCCCTTCTTTCTGAGGTTTGTCAGTCTGTTTCCTACTTCCATGTCTTTGGATATATTTTGTTTGTTAGCTTATTTGTTAATTATATTCTCCAAATAAGTGAGATCTTGTGATACTTGTTTTTCTCTGACTGGCTTATTTTACTTAGCATAATACTCTCTAGATTCCTCCATGTTGTCTCAAGGGTAAGAGATCTTTCTTTCTTACAGCTGCACAATTCCATTTACAAATGGCCAAGAGCCATGTGAAAAAATGTTCAGTGTCACTAATCATCAGAGAGATGCAAATTAAAACAAATATGAGGTATCACTTCATACCTGCCTGTTAGAATGGCTGCCATCAAGAAATCATCAGACAACTAGTGTTGGCGAGGGTGTGGAGAAAAGGGGACTCTAGTACACTGCTGGTGGGAATGCAGACTGGTGCAGCCACTATGGAAAACAATATGGTGTTTCCTCAGAAAATTAAAAATGGGGTTCCTTTTTTTTCTCAAAGTCTTGTTTTATGTTTTCCTTTTGGAGAAAGATGGAATTGTCATCTTTAATGAGGGTCCCAAACATTAGAATACTTTTATTTTTGTTCCTAAACAACATAGTGTGTGAATTCCAGCTCTTTTTGGCTGTCATGGTGTTCCACGGATCGTCTTTAAATACTCAGAATTCTTTCCTCTCCATGTTTTAAATAAAGGAGGTAGGTGTGTGTGTGTGTGTGTTTGTGCACACATGCCAATTCTGGATTAGGTACTTTTAAATAATATAGTAGAGGTTCAAACTGCTGAGCAGTTATTTTTACTACTTTTAAATACTCATAATAGAAGACAGGAAACCATTTTACGGCCTTGGTTTATTTAATATCATTTTGGTAACCAGGAGTGGTTTTTCAGTTTCAATGCCTCTACACATCATTGAGAGTTTGAAAACAAATGATTGCACTGGGACTAGTTAAGCCTTATTTATACTTTTGTTATTGAAGCCCAATTTAACAATTTCTGCTGTACGTGTACTTAGATTATTGGCACCAGCTTTCCTTGCAAATATTAAACATTTATTTTCAAGATGTGTGTAAATGAAGGTAATTATAGTTTTCCTATAAGAATTGGTTACATACAGAACTGATTTTTATTGTAACTGACTTTTTCTGCTTACAAATGTAATTATAGAAAACAAACCCTTATGGACACATCCTTTACACTAATAGAGCATAAATGTATATGCATTTTGAAATGCCATTTTTCCTTAATAGTGTATTTTAAACATTTTAGTATGCCATTCTTTTTTAGGATCTTACTTCTGAATAATTGCGTATTTTTAATATGAAGTTAATTTAAGAATCTCCCTTCTCTCCAGTCTTCATTACCCTAACTCCTTGCTTTCAGGACTCCTTCCACGTTTGCTCTCTTCTTGTTTTTAAGGGGAGAAAAATGAAGTACATTTTTTTTTTACACGATTAAATCTTCAAAAGGACATGTTTAATTAAATGAGATTTTGCCGATTTGGCTATACATAATATTTAGTAATAGGTGCTAGTTTGCCTTATTGATGATTAAGCCACCTCTTTGGTTATGTATTTGTCTATTGTATTCCAGAATGTTACCACACAGGAAAATTTGCCAAAGTATATCAGAGGGAATTTTTTGGGGGTAGAAAGGGAAATTACATAGTATATAATCTAAAGCTCTGCCATGTTATTCAGTGTGAGAACCACTGGCTATCTGTGGATATTTAAATTTAGATTAATTGGAATAATAAAAAATTCAGCTCTTCAGGTACACGATCCACAGGTCATTCAAGTGCTCAGTAACCATGTGTGATTAGTCCAAATAACTTTGAATAAGCAGATACAGAACGTTTTCAACATCACAGAAAGTTCTCTTGGACAACCTTGGAATGAAGTCTATACATGTTACTGTTTATTGTATTAGAATTTAAAAATCATTTTGGCTTTTTAATTTTCTTTCCTGGTATTAATAAAAAGCAGAATTTTTGTCTATTTTTGGAAACAGCAGTTCAAAATTATTTATAGTAATTTTTACTTTCCTATCAGCTTCATTTTAAAAAATATGTACTGAAATAAAATACATAAGAAAGTAGGGTTCCCAGAATTTGGAAATTCTAGAACATTAAAAAAATTCTTGATATAGTATAGTACAAAGTTCAGATATGGGCAGGGTAGGGGTGGGCTCTTGGACAAGAATCTAGAGAAACTGATATAGAAAGAAGAGCTGATGCTTGTTTTTTTAATCCCCATCTGAGGATATGTTTTTATTGATTTTAGAGAAAGAAGAAGGGAGAGAGAGAGACAGAGAGACAGAGAGAGAGAGAGAAACATCAAGGTGAGAAACATTGGTCGGTTGCTCCAACCAGGGATCAAACCTCCAACCTAGGTGTGTGCCCTGACTGGAATCAAACCTGCAACCTTTTGGTGTATGGGAGGCACTCCAACCAGCTGAGCCACCTGGCCAGGGCATCAGCTGAATGTTTTTAAAGGACATTGAGAAGAAGCAAATTAAGTGGAGAATAATGTATTTATTTAGCTTATGTAATTTTAGGTTATAATTATAGCATTACTGTAAATTAATCTAGAAACATTTGAAACCATGGGAAACAAAAAATAAGAGGGGAAGGGTGGGGAGGAACTGTCAGTAATCCTGTTGTTATTGAGAACAGCCGTACTATTTGTCACCTATCTATCCAGCCTCTTTTCTGTGTCCTTACAAACAGGTCATATTCATTCAGTAGTGAATGAGGTCAGTGGAAAACGCAGATGAGAAGTGAGTCCGAGAGGCGGCGAGCACGGTGCTGCGAAGCTCTGCCGCTGAGCCAGGTGGCCTGGGCTTGAGACCCCAGCTCTGCCATTTACTGCTTGTGGGACACAACAACTATTTCTCTCCTCTGTACCTGTTTATCTATAAAATGGGGTGATGTTGCTGTCTACCATTAGTGTTCTTAAGGGTTAAGGTATTAAGATATTGAATTCATTGAAGACTCTATTACTAATAGTACTGACAACTGTTAGGTTGGTAATACAAGCACATGGTATCTCATATGTATAGGCCTCTATAGGTATCATTGTAGGAAACCAGACTTTTAAACAAGTAGTTGCAGTAAAATTGAAGGAGTTTATGAGAGTGTAAGTTCAATGATAGTATATGTTGAGGTAACCTAATTCTTGGTGATTAGGAAAATTAATTTAGCCTTTAGAATGGTTGATTTTAAATTGTACTAGAACAGTTTTTCAAATTAAATCTTACTTTTTATAAATCTGTATTCTTGAAAATTTGTTTATTACTCAAATGTGATAAACGTTAAATAGTTTCAAGATATTAAGTAAAAATGTTGCCCTGATAATTCTGGTAATACCATAAGTGTCAAAATTCTTTCCCTGATGCATTGCTTTGCATTATATACTGGGTTGCCAAAATGGTAATAGAATTCTCTCTTAGCAATAGCATCAGGGTATTCAAAATAAAATCTATCTTCCAGACTTTTTACAAGAAAGTTGGTTAGCTTTGAGTATAATTAATGAGTGTATCACTTGATACCTATTAGAAACAAGAAATTGTGAGGTGCAACTGTTTTTCATATAGGATAGTGAGGGAGGCAGTTTGGTTAACTACAAATAAGAGGCTACAGTAAGTTTTTAAGTATAAAATTTTAAGTGCACCTCTTTAAAAAGTGCCGACAAGTTTTGCATTTGTCAAAGCATCTTTCATTTCTAAACTATGACACTAGAATTTTAAAGGAATCCATTTGGTCTTATAATGCTTTACAGTATATTCTTGCCTTTGTGTTTCTTGGTTAATGATGATAGGAAATTAAGTCCTGAATTATTTAAACTTATTAATGTAATTTTACTTGTTTTCCAGTATGGAAAATTATTTAAGCTAACTAATTATGCTAAATATCTCTAGCTTTGATAAATCCCATTGTTTCTTAGAAACTTGAATTTTGAGGGTAAAGTTGACAATTAAAAAAAAAAAAAGTAAAAGAACAGTGTGTTCCTGGAGTGCCGGCACACGGGTCCGCCAGTGCCAGCTTCTTCACTCCTGGTGGTTGTTACCTACCCAACTGTCAGGGCGCAGCTGCCAGTGTACCGCTTTGCTTTAATCATAATTTACTTTTCAGTAGGAATAGAAACTACAACCAATGCTTGAAGTATTGAAGTAATATGTTTTAGGAATTAAAGGTTTTGTTAAGTTGATGTTTGTTGGGGGCAAAAAAAAAAAGCAACCCAAAGGTGTAGTTTCTATATGGGTTCTATTTGATGACAATGTTTTTTTCTGTTTGACTTCACATGATAAACACTGGACCACAGTAATAAATGAATTATGCACACACATATTTGTCATCTGTAGGTTTATAGAAACATTAATTTTTGTTTAGAATGGTCAGTGATAGGTTTCTATTTACAACTATAAAAATAGTTAAATATCTCAGATTGTTTGCTAGCAGGTGAACTTACATTCATTCGCTTTTCTTCCAGATTTATGAAAAACTACACTACTATGAGAGGCAGAATCCTGTGCCCATCCTCCACGGCGCAGCAGCCTTGGCTGATGATGTAAGTGTGCCCCTCTGAGATCACTGGGACAGGTCTGCCACCAGCCTGGCCGCAGCAGAGTTTATCCGAGTGTAGACAGATGCACGCAATACTATGAGTGAAAACCAGAAGTTGTAAATGTTTCCAAAGGTCCTGTCATCACGGAGCTTACACTGATACGCTGATTTTCACTCTCCTGTTTCAAAAATGTTACATGTAGATACCCTCTTGTTCTGCCTTGGTAACTACGTAATAGAAATTTTAGGCTGTAACTCTCTGGGGGAGAAAGAAGCTGTCAGCTATTAGTGTACGAAGAAAGTCACAGGCAAGAGGTATGCTTTGGAGAAATAAAGACAAATGAGATAGCTCTATTGCTGACAGTACTAAAAAATGACAGATACTAGTATGGGAATGAGGCATATGAAATACATAAAAAGACAGGATTGTTTTTAAAATGGATTGTTTTTAAAATGGATTATAAGCATAGTAATGATTTATGGGTATTAGACCTTTCAAAATTACCTTCATAACCAAAAAATAAATTTTAGAAGCAGTTGGCATTGATGGAGTAGTTAATTTCCTGTAGCTATAATTTTATTTTCAATCTGGGGTAAGGAACTAACTTGCTGTTTCTTACCGTTAACTTTCGGATGAATGGAGAGTACACCTGGGTAAACTGTAAGGGACACAAAGCTAGACGAGAAGTAGTTTTGTGTGAAGACTGCTGTTGGTGATCTCCTGCAGCTAATTTGTTGCTTTGAAGTTTTTACTTTGTTATGTTAAAACCAATTATAATTCAGTTTAGTAAAATATCAGGGCCATAAGTATAATAAAAAAAAGTTGGCCATCTTCAGAGGTTGATTTTCTTTGATGTATTTTATATTTTAATTTAGAATACTAAGCATGCAATAAATCTCCAAGTTGTGGCTATTTGTTTAATTCCCATACATTTTTCCTTTCATTTTTATCTACAGAAATTACAAATTACAAGGATGTTTCAGTATACATGTTTTATGAGGAAGTTTACCTCTGCCTTTTAGAACCAAAACATTTAAAGGGAAGATGAATAAAAGTGTAGTGGCAGTTGCCGCTTGAGAAAGTAAAATTAAAAAAAAAAATTATTGTTGTAGGTTTGGAGAAATATTTGTCTATAAACCAGTGTAATTGAGACCCAATCATATTATGATAATACGCTTTTTAAAAAATATGGTTAAATTGTAGCTCATCAGAGCAATGTATTGAAATGTTTAAAAATATTGTTATATATTAAGTAACCAAAGAATGCACAGAGCCCTTTGCAATCTTTTGTAAGCTAATTCTGTAAAAATGTTACCTTAAAAAGTAAAAGCACTTTCTGAGATGTAGTCAACGAATATACCAATTTTATTGGATTTTATTTTTTGTGTGTATAATTTATATTTTGTCCTTCTTTTAGAGAAAAGTCATGTTCCAGAGATAAAAACAATTATTTTCAATTTAGTAGAAATAATAGGGGCAAATTTTATGCATTATTTTAAGCAAGGGTTTTAATGAAAATATATGTACATAGTTTGAATTCTGTACTGCATGTTTCACAATTCTAATATTTTTCCTATGTGAGTCTTGCTTTTATTTTTATGAAAATTATAAGATGCTTCCTATAGCCTAAACTTGAATGGACATTTTGATAGGAAGATCTCTTAGTGAAGAACACAAGGCAGGGTCAAAGCACCAGTCCTTGCTTGAACTAGAAGCAGCAAATGAGAATTCTTGATCGTTGTAGTAGAGTACAGTCAGCATTTTTGGTATTGGGGTAGTTGCCAACCTATTATAAGTCATTTTATGATTAATCTGGTATTTATGTAACAGACTCCTTAGTCTGTGTAGGTAAACATAATAAAAGTTTTGGACCTTTGTCCTGTTAGAGGCATTCTAGTTCTTTTAACCCCAGCTCTAAACAGCAAGCTAGTGTGGGTTTTTGGAAACCCTATGGATTTCACCACCTCATTCAGAGCTTTTTTTCTTTTATTCTCTTATTATTTTTTTTTAAATAGTGTCAAAGTTTAATCCAGTCCTTTTTACAAGCAATCCTTTGTCTGCATGCAAAAGGCCATTCAGTAGATGAAGTGCTGGGATTCGCCCTCATTGCAATAAATCAGAAGGTGATCTGCCTGGTGTGATTCCTTGGGCTGTGCTTAACCAAAGAACGGGGTGGGATCTGGGTTACCAAGGGTCTAAAAAGAAAAGCAATGATTGATAGTCTGTTTTGTTTCATGCTGACTTTCCCTTAATCACAGGACAGTCACAAGATAGATCTTTAGTGGTCACACATGGAACTACATGATGCTCTTATTAATTGTTCTTTATGTCAATGTGATCTCGCTTGCAGCTGGCTGAAGACCTTCAGAACAAGCCATTAAACAGTGAGATCAGAGAGCTGTTGAAACTACTGTCAAAACCCAATGTGAAGGTGAGGACATGCAATAAATATTTTCCAAAGGGGCCACTTTCTGAGACTTCAGAAGAATTTTGTTTTGAGCTTCAGTTTTCAAGTACATTTATTTTCAATAAGTGCATAATATTTTAATAGCCTAAATTTCATTAAGGAAAAAGAGTTGAGTTTTAATGATAATGTGACAAATTATAAAATACTTTAATTGGGAAACTGAATTTAAGTTGGCAGGTATTACGTGGCTTCAAGGTTATTTTCCTTTTAAATGTGAAGTTATGATTACAGAATACAGAATTTTACTTGGCTAGTTAATGGTATTCCAATATATTTGAAAATTATATCAGTTTTTCTGCAGGATCATTTTAACATTCCTGTTCTTCCTTCCCGTTCCACCTCCTATCTCCTGTCCCTCTATCAATTCATGTTTTAATTTATCCTACCATTTACAGAGCAGAGCAGTTTCCAATGTAAATACTACTATAATATTGGTAGATGGATTTTAATTCTCCTTACCATTTTCCTCCCATATTTATCACAAAATTTTCCTCTAAATATGATTAATTTAACAAGGCATTTTGAAAATTTTCTGTTAATTCTAAGGTCCTAAATGCACTAAACCTCAAAACCTATATACACTGGATTTGTTTCCACTGCAGTTATGTGTAAAATATTTTTCATGAGTCAAAATTACATATGGATTTGCATAATTATGTATTTTAAATGATTAGTTATTTTATGATGATTTCTGATAAGCATATATATAGAATGTTGGATGAAAATTTCTGCCTTGATACAAAAACTGGTTTCTACTTTCCTTGAAACGTCTCCATTGGGACCATATTATATGTCTTAAATTGATAGTCAAAAGAAGAAAGGTGGTATTAAACAAAAGATAAAGTGAAGACATGGATAGTCTATAATTTCTAATCCCTGGAGGTAAATATAAGTAAATGAATATATAAGTAAATGAATATATTGCTATAAAGGGTAAATGGAGTAATTGACTTGTAATGGTACAGAGGAGTTTGGTTAAATTTTAGTTCTAAAAGAATAAGGATCATATTAAAGCAGAAAAGTTGCTTGATATTAAAGACAAAGTGTGTGGAAAGGTTAAGAGCTCACAGAAGGAGATTCATAGCCAGAGAATGCTCCGAAAACTTCATTTGGTGTTAGACTGTACACGAGAAGTTAATATCAACCTCAGCATGGTAAGGTTAGCTATGGGAAGCTTGTTTTACTCCTTTTTGAGAAGTATTATCTTGGTTTGAACATTAGAGATTTTTGACCAAAACAAAACAAAAAAACCCCATGATTTTGGTATTTTGTTCAAAGGTATTTGAAATAAAATAGCTAATAATAAAGAGATTATACTGGATGAAAACTAGTATTTGGCTTGAAAAGGAAGTATGATATTTGATGGTATTGGGCTCTACCCCTGGATAAAACTTTATAATTGAATACTTCAACTTTATTATGGCAGAAATATTTTAGATGAATAACTTGTTATTTTTTTATATTTATATAGCAGAATGACTAAAGAATAGTTTAGAAGTTAGCAAGAAATAATTTGTAGAAAGTGGATAAGATGCTAGGCACATGATCTTACTATTTCTAGTTAGGCAGTCTTTTTCTTTTCTTTTTTATTGAATGTATTGGGGTGGCATTGGTTAATAAAATTATATAGGTTTCAGTCTGGCCAGTGTGGCTCAGTGGTTGGGCATCGACCCATGCTCCAAGAGGTCACTGATTTTGATTCCTGGTCAGGGCACATGCCCAGGTTGTGGGCCAGATCCCCAATGTGGGGCATGCAGGAGGCGGCCAATTGATGTTCTCTCTCATTGATGTTTCTATCTCTCTCTCTCTCTCTCTTTCTCTCCCTCTCCCTTCTACTCTCTAAAAAATCAATAAAGAAAAAATATTTTTAAAAAAGAATGGAGCCAAGCTTTGATTTAAAAAGAAAAAAAAAGTTATATAGGTTGCAGGTGTATGTTGTATTGTGTGTTCACCACCCCAAGTCAAGTCTCCTTTCCTCACCATTTATTCCCCCCATTCCCTCTTCTACTTCCCTCACCCTCCTTTCTTTCTGGTAATCACCATACTGTTGCCTGTGTCTATGAGTTTTATTTATTTTTTATTTTTTACTTAATCCCTTCACCTTTTTTTTTTTAATCCTCACCCGGGGACATTTTTTTTTTTTTTTTTGCATTTATCTTCAGATAGAGCAGGAGGGGGAGAGGGAGGGAGAGAGAGAAACATTCACGTGAGAGAGACACATGGAGTGGTTGCCACCCACTCAACCCCAGCCGGGGCCGGGGACAAACTGCAACTGAGGTATGTGCCCTTAGCGGGAACTGAACCCAGGACTCTCTGGTCCATGGGCCAATGCTCTAACTGCTGAGCCAAACTGTCCAGGGAAATCCCTTCACCTTTTTCACCCAGTACCTCCAAACCCCCTTCCCATCTGACAGCTGTCCATCTGTTCTCTGTCTGTGAGTCTGTCACTGTTTTGTCACTTCATTTTGTTCACTAGATTCCACATATGAGTGAAATCATATGGTACTTGTCTTTCTCCAACTGACATATTTCACTTAGCATATACATTCTAGGGCCATCCATGATGTTGCAAAGGATAAGATTTTCTTCTTTTTTTATGGCTGATATTATTTCATTTTGTAAATGTACCACAGCTTTTATATCCACTCATCCACTGATGGACACTTGAGCTGCTTCCAAATCTTGGCTATTGTAAATAATGCTGCAGTGGAATAGGGGTACATATATTCTTGTTTCAGGTTTCTTCAGAAAAATTCCCAGAAGTGGAATTGCTGGGTCATAAGGCAGTTCCATTTTTAACTTTTTGAAGTAATTTCATACTGCTTTCCACAGTGACTGCACCAATCTGCATTCCCACAAATAGTGCACCAGGGTTCCCTTTTCTCCGCACCTCACAAACGCTTTTTGTTTGTTAATTTATTGCTGATAGCCATTCTGACAGGTGTGACATGATATCTCATTGTGATCTTATTTTTTATTTTTATTTTTTAAATTTATTTTTATTTTTGTCCTCACCCGAGGATATTTTTCCATCTATCTTCAGATAGGGTGGGAGGGAGGGGGGGAGAGAGAGAGAAAAAACATCCATGTGAGAGAGACACATCAACTGGCTACGTCCCGCACAACCTGGACCAGGGCCAGGGATGAATCGAAACTGAGGTACCTGCTCTTAACCTGAATCAAACCCGTGACTCACTGGTCTCTGGGCTGATGTTCTAACTGCTGAGCCAAGCCAGCCAGGGCTTCACTGTGATTTTAATTTACATCCCTCTGATGATTAGTGACTTTGAGCATTTTTTCATATGTCTATTGGCCTTTTGTATATCCTCTTTGGAGAGGTGTCTATTAGGTCCTTTTCCCATTTTTAAATTAGAGTGTTTGTTTTTTTGGTGTTGAGTTTTATTAGTTCTTTATAAATTTTGAATATTAATATGTAATCAGATATATCAGTGGGGATTTATTCCCCCATTCAGTGGCTTGTCTTTTCATTTTGTTGATGGCTTCCTTTGCTGTGCAAAAACATTTTAATATGATGTAGTCCCATTTGTTTATTTTGTTTGTTTCCCTTGCCCAAGGAAATACATCAGAAAAGAATGTTGTTACAAAAAATGTCCGGGATTTTACTGCTTGTGTTTTCTTCTAGGAATCTTATGATTTTGCGTCTTTAATTCATTTTCAGTTTATTCTCTTATATGTGTCAGAAGATGATCTCATTTCATTTTTTTTGTACAGATCTGTCCAATTTTCCCAACAGCATTTATTGGATAGACTGTCTTTACCCCATTGTATATTTTGCCTCCTTTGTCAAATATTAATTGACTATACAGGTGTGGGTTTATTTTTGGGATCTCTATTCTGTTTCATTGATCTGTATATCTGCTTTTATGCCAGTACCATGTTGTTTTGATTACTATAGCTTTGTAGTATAGCCTTGTAGGTAGTATATGTCCTCCAACTTTGTTCTTCTTTCTCAAGATTACTGTGGCTGTTCAGGATCTTTTATGATTTCATATAAATTTTTGGAATATTTGTGCTAATTATATGAAATATGCCATTGGTATCTTGATAGGAATTGTGTTGAATCTGTAAATTGCTCTGGATAGTATGGACATTTTAATGATGTTAATTCTTCCTATCCATGAAGACAGTACAGTATATGCTCCCACTTATTTGTATCTTCTTCAGTTTCTTTCTTCAATGTCTTATATTTTTATTAGTAAAGGGCATTTGGATTTTTGGTTAAATTTATCCCTAGGTGTTATTTTTAAACAATTGTGAATGGAATTGTTTTCTTAGTTTCCCTTTTTGATGGTTCATGGTGGGTATATAAAAATGAAACTGATTTCTGGATATTTATTTTGTATCCTGCTACGTTACTGAATTTATTTATCAGTTCTAGTGTGTGGAATTTTAAATTCTCTATATACAATATCATGTCATCTACAAATAATGACAGTTTTACTTTTTTTCCCCCCAATTTTGATGCCTTTTATTTCTTCTTATTTTCTGATAGCTGTGGCTAGGACTTCCACTACTATGTTGAATAAAAATGGTGAAACCAGACATACCCGAATTGTTCCTGATTTTAAGGAAAATAGTGTAGTTTTTGCCCATTGAGTATGATGTAGGCTTTGGTTTGTGATATATGGTAGTCTTTTTTTCTTTTAATATTTTTTCTTTATTGATTTAGAGGGAGAGAAAGAGATAGAAACATCGTGAGAGAACATCAGTTGGCTGCCTCCTGCATGCCCCGTACTGGGTGTTGTGCCCACAACCTGGGCATGTGCCCTGACTGGGAATCTAACTGGTGACCTCTTGGTGCATGGGTCGATGCTCAACCAGTGAGCCACACCGGCCAGGTGATATGTGGTCTTTTTTGCATTGAGGTATGTTTTCTCTAGTCCCACTTTCCTGAGAGTTTTCATCATAAATGCTTCTGGATTTTATGAAATGCTTTTTCTGCA